GTTAACCTGGTTGCGCCACTGACACTGAAATGTCAGTTAATCCTATTGACTTTGACTCGCCCCCAAAAAGAGGTAAGGATGCACGCGGGCAGGAAATGACAAAGCTGCAACATACACGGAAATTTCTCTTTCACTTTAACATCCTACACAAACATGTTACTGAAATAAATGCACTTAAGGGAATCACACTTCAAAATTTTAATGCAATAACAAGAAAGATGTATTTTGAATTTTTCATTTTTGAACTAGACAAAAACGTATGTTCAATGATTTTGGAATCGTAAAGAAATCCCTAAGGTCGAGAAAAACTAACGTTAAAATCAATTTGTAATATTTGTATTTACCTTATTTTTAACAACATATTTACACTACTTTGTTTCAAATTTGTAGCTGCAATATCTTCGGCTTTGAACTCCATTTTCTCCCTGTGTAGACGGATTACTTCGCCCACAGTTACTCGCTGTTGTTCTGTGCAATCAGGCAAAACTTTTAAACGCCCTAACAAGCATCAAGGAGCAGAGTCGAGTGGATTGCAGCCATGTTGCAACAAGCCCTATGAGTGGGCGGTAGGTAGGGGGCTGTGGCCAAATGTGGGTGGAAGCGGGTTTCAAGAGGGGAGACGAATGGCGGGCGGAAGCATCGAATGCCGGCCAGGAAACACTAACGAAACAAAGGACTGCACAGGACGGAAGGGAGTGAAAGGAACATGTAGATGTCCTGGGTGTGGCTGCATACTTGCAACAGCACTGTGGCGTTCGAGTGGCGCCTCCTGGCGGAAGTTTGAAGAAACTGACACTTGAGACATAATTTTCAAGCCAAAGGTTGTGAAGGAAACGTTCGATGCTCGTTTGTTTGCCACTTTTACGGGCTCTTGTGCTGAGTGATATGGCTAAATGAAACAATGAGAAACAATTTCGAACTGAGCCGAACTACAAAAATATACTACACATCTTGTATATATAAAATGTATCTTTAGCCGACTCTAAATAAATATACCCTCAGTTCTGGTAAGAACAGAATCTGCTTCTAAGTAAATATAAGAGCATATACCAACAGTTACAAATTTTGAATGGAAAAGTTCCAACAAAATGATTGGCAGAATAACTAGATAATGTCGCTCCTTTTTAACTTTAGCAGGAATTATTTTTATCTTGGTCAGTGATAAAATATTTCTAGTGTTATCAGAAAGTAAGAGTGTCCAAGGCTTAGTTATTGATAGCGCTAAGTTTTTGCTCATTTAATGAATGGGCTGTGTTGGGACCCTGCTAATTGCATTTAAAAAGTTATTTACATTAAGACAAGATTAATTATTATTCTTCAGACTAAAGTCTTATAGGAATGATGAAAAGTGTAATTGCATTTCAGACTCTGGGAAATACAATTTTCTTCTTCGCCATTTCCTGATTTATTATATTTGTGTGAGGGAGCGCAAATATTTAAAATATTTTATATTTCTAAGAATTACATGCCAGTTTAGAGACCTTAAGGCAGACATGTTCTTATGAAAGTATTAACCCTTTGACGGGTTTAAAATTAAACTAATTCGGGTAATTCATTTTGTAGCTCGAAAAATAAAAATTTATTTAAGAGTCATAAAAAATCAGCTTAACAAATTTGATTAAAGAAAAGCAGTGATTTTCCAATCAAAAAATTAATATTTATGAATATTCAACTGAACATCTAGAGAAGTTATTGATGACCCATCCAATCTAGAACACCAAACAAATGTTACAAAGCAATTAAGTGCGTGCCCGCTCCTCCAAACTCTCGGAGCCAAACAGCTCACAAAACGCCAGTAAACAGGCTCGTTAAATAAACTATAAAAGATGCCAAATACAACACAAATCGAACTTAATTGAGCAGAGTCAAATGTCGCCTGAGTGCCAAAAGGCCCCGCGACCTGCAACCCGTAAAACGGCACGGAAAATGGAAAATGGCAATGGACGGATGGATGGATGGTTGGACGGACGACTGGAGGGCTTGAGGGAGGTGCAGATTGTTTCAGTAGAACGACAAGTGCACAAGTGCTCCACTTTGCCGCTGTCTGTCATTCCAAAGAGCGAAGAGTTCGCGTGATAAAAAAAAGTTGTCAATTTGTTTGCCGTTTGTCGTTGGCTGCGGTTTGTGGTTCCTGCCATCGCGCTGCCCCACTCCATACAGTTCACCCTCTGCTTCTGGATCCCAATTCATTCAATAATTTCATTTGCCCATTCATTGTTTTCAATTTTTTCTGGCCTGCCATCGTTTTGGTCCATATTCGCACAGTGATAATTTAATTAAGCTCGTTAGGGGGATCGAGGTGAAATAAGGGGTTCCCTTTTGAACTAATAATAATATTCATGTAGAAAGTCTATCTTAAATTATAAAAAAACTGGATTTTCTTTTATTTTAGAAAATAATACAAATTTTATATAATAATAATAAGCAAATATTTACTAAAAAGTGTTGGTTTTAAGTGTACATCTTTTATTATTTTTCTTATTCTTTTCCATTTTATTATTGCATGAATATTAAATTGTCCTTTTTTAATTTTGTTTTTGTCACGCCATTCGCTCGTAGAAAGTCAAATTGCCTTAACTCTTTGACACGGAAACGTGGAGGTAATTATCGCCGCCTTTTTCCCACATTGAATGGGTTGGAGGTGGGTGTTGTACAATTTCCCTGAAAATCAGGCTTTTCCCAGAAAACTTCATTCGTGATTGCCTCTTGGCAAAGGCTCAGAATCAGGATGTCAACACTTAATTGGCTGGCTGATGAGTTCAAGGTAAAACAAGAAAGGAAAGCTAATTTCGGGCGGAGCCGAAGTTGATATACCCTTGCAGAATACTCTGTAAATTATATTCTCCAAAATTATTCATATGATGCATTCTTAATACTCATAAAAAATCCCAACTTCCTAACTTGAAAAACACCAAAGTTATGGTATTTCCAATCGTTCAGTTATATGGCAGCTATAGAATATAGTCGACCGATCCTTATGAAATTTGGTAGGTCGGATTGATCGGCCGTTCCGACATATATACTGCGTGCAAAGGAAAGAAGGGTGTGTGCAAAGTTTCAATTCGATAGCTTTAAAACTGAGAGACTAGTTTGCGTAGGTGGGAGGTGATCCTGTTCAAGAATATATATACTTTATAGGGTCGGAGATGTCTCCTTCACTGCGTTGCACACTTTTGACCAAAATTATAATACCCTCTGCAAGGGTATAATGATAATAGCAAATAAAAGAATATTGCAGTTTTTTCTGCATTCTTATTTAATAAAATACGGTCCTCTTGTATGTAGTCAAAAAAATAGCACCGTGCATTCACTAGCTTTAATTGTTATAAGGGTTAATTTTGAAATTTTTTTTATAGTTCAGATAGAGACATGGAAGTGTAATACAAATTTACACAAACTGTTTTATTTTCATAGATTTTAATACTATACTGCGCCATTGAAGCACATTACTTTCTCAAAAACTTAACTTCTAGAGCAAAATTCAAATCTGATAAGAAAACTTTTTCGGTAATAACTAAAAAAAAACTAGAAGCTCAAATAAAATGATTCGGAATATGAAACCCCGTGATTTTACTAAGGGTACATGGGTAAACCGATTAGCTAAGCAAAGTTTAGCCTCTTTTGAGGAAAATATAACTAGTGGAAAGGTTAGATGTAGTGGAAATTAACGAAATATAATGTCCCATGTTGCGGGGTAATACTTTAAGAACCAGAAGTCTCCGATGCCGGCGCTGTTCTAGAGTACTGTCAAAACATAGAACATTAATGGCGGGTTTTTTTTTTTTTGTTTAATAAATTAGGATACGCCAAAAACTATGTATGCAATTTTTAATTATCAATACAAACTTTTTATTAGCATAAGACTTAAATATAATGACACAACACTTTTTATGCAAGCAGTGATATTATTTTGAACAACTAATACTGGAGTTTTATCGTATTAAAAAAAAAAAATACAAATGATTAATGTACAGAATTCTTCTGTAGGATTTCATAAGCTCATATATCAACAATAAAAAACAAACTTAATAAAATGAATTTATTTCATTGGTATTATATACATATATATAATTTTATATAAAATAAAAGTGAACTCTTCGGTGCTATTATTTTGAACGGGTATCATATTTTTTATCCTTATATTTTCTTGAACCAGAAATAGCAATTAGCCATGTACAAGCTCAGAATACTGATTAGCCCACCATAAATTAGCTATCTGTTGAGCACCTTAGGTAGTTCCCCATCTTAGAACGTACAATCCCATATGTAATGCAATTAATTCATTGCAGCCAAGCTGTACTGTACAATTAAGCATAAATAATTGCTGACATTCTGCCCGTTTGATGGCCAAGTCGGTTCTCTAATTGAGCCTCAATGGCTTTTTTTATGGGGCCGTTAATTGATTTACTCATAATCAATCTGCCCGTTGGGCAATCTCGATTTGCAGTTGCAGGTAGTTAGCCATAGAACCATTCAATCAAAGTTCCATCGACAGAATCCTATCAAACAAATCAATGCGATTGTTTTATCTAATGGATATTTCCCCCGATTTTCCGCTGTACCTTTATGTTGGCGTGGGCGGAGCGAGAGGAGGAAACAAGATCCTGCTGCTGCTGGCCAACTGTTTGTGCTAATGCGCTTTGGCTTGGCCCATAAACGTGGCAAAGTTCTAAAGCCGTCGACTTAATTGTGTGCGAGGAGGGTAGCATTCTCCATTTAAACTGCAAAGCCACTTTAAGTTGCTCAAAAAAAAAAGGAAAAAGAAAGGAAACTCGCGTGGGCGCACTCGTTGATTTGGGGGTTGTCCTTGTCTTGCGGCCACTCGCTGTTCTGCGCAGACTCGTTGTTTCGCTCTTGTCTCTCTGGGTTTTCCAGTGACCAAGGCGCAGGCGCGCTCTCTTTGTGGGAGCTTTCGCTGTGTGTACTGAGAAAGCTTGCCTCTTTGGGCGGCACCAAAAAAGAGAGGGAGCTCTTCCAGCACATCCAGGCACACAGTTCCGTTAGTTCAGTTGAATTCCGCCAGCTCTCCAGAAAACTCGCACGAAAGGGAGCTATAAAACCGTTAAATTGGAGTTCCTTAAACAATAAAAACGCTAAAAAAAAGTGTTAACTATATCATAATATCAAATAATTAAGTGTGTAAATTAAAGTGTTGTCAACAATTCAGTTTGGCCCATTATTTAGTGACTTTGCAAAAGTTCTTCCTCCCTTTCCTCTTTTTTTGGACAACGCATGAATCATTTAGCCTGCTGGAATACAAAAACAAATAGCTGCCAAGTGTACAAAAGAAAAGTTTTGTTTGTGCTTTTCTTATTTGGCTGAAACAACAAAAATTCGCCTCCTTGCGTCAGCATGTGCCCATTTTCCAGCTTTCTCACTCCCTCTCTCTTGTTTATGGCCACTTGTAAGACAGCGCGTGAATGAAAAAAAATTTTTAAGTGAAAAAGTTTTCAAGAATAGAGCTAATAATCAACAATATAATCATAAACATCAAATATTATAAATTAATATCTGTCCCATTGCTAACTTTATCGCAAAAAGAAAACACGAATTGTTGTCCTAAGTTATTGATTTTTTTTCCATATTTTTACGCATTTCGAAATTTGGTTAATGAAAAACACGCTCCTTAATTAAAGTTTTTCCATGGCTCGGAAAGCCCTCGCCTAGAGCTTTTCCACTCGCTACTCTCTCTTTTTCCTAGTTTCTAGTTCTCCTAGCCAAAGACAACAAAATTTCCCGCAATTTTCAGCGAGTAACGAATTTCCTTGCTCTTGGACATGCGAATTTTTCAGTTTACAATTGGACTCAACCGTTAGCGGTCAAAACGTGTATCCTTGAGAAGCCTTAGTGCGGATCATAACAAAATGCGCAGATAAAAACAAACTGAATTGTTGAGTGACATAATAATACTATTTTTCAGTGCTAAATAAACTTGTTTAAAGAAAATTAAAAGAAAAACCCTAGAGAAACACAAAAAGAAGTGAAAAGAAGTGCTCAAAAAACCTACAAAAAACCTAAAATTAAACTGAATTCTTGAGTAAAGTGACAAGATCCAATCCCTCGGATAACAGAGTTAGTTGAACCCCCGAATTTTTTGTCCCCGCACATTGTACACCTGGTTTTCTTCGCTGGCAACGTAGTCGGCCATTGAGTTGGCCGATACCAAACGACCTTCAAAACGTTTTGCGTCGAGGCAATACGCACCATGGGCTGCGCACAGTCTGCCGAGGAGCGAGCAGCAGCCGCCAGGAGTCGCCTCATCGAGCGCAATCTCAAGGAGGACGGCATTCAGGCGGCAAAGGACATCAAACTCCTGCTGCTGGGTGAGTTTTTGCGATGCTCAGGAAGGGCTCGCAAAATGAACAGGCAACATGAATATTTAATTCGCGGCGAGGCTAAAATTAGTGTAGCATACTTAGCGGCTGCCCTGGCGGCTCATTAAGGCCCCATGTCCTTAGAACGAGCTTCGGTTTTATTTGCTGTCAGGTGCAGCCTTGCCCTTTGACCGATGCTATTTGTGGTCACTGCTGGAAAGTTATATGTACTTAAACATGACACCCTAAGGTCCGTTTTCAACATATTTGTTTTCATACAAAAGTTTTGTGTTAAACTGAAAAAAATAGTTTGACTGGTTTCACTTTCTGGAAGCTTTTTACTAATAATAATAATAATTTTGTAACATGCTTTAAAAGTCTATTGCATTTTGATTTGGTTTTGATCGAGGGTTTCATTTTCACGATTCTAAAAATACACATTTTTGCAAGACTTACACAAATCGTCAAAAGTCAAACTCAAATAAAAAAAGTAAAAAGAATTTTAGTTATTTTAGACTTAAACAAAAATGAAACCAATTGAAATCTAATCTTTTAGAAAACAAAAAAAAATATTAAATATTTCATTCAAATCTTTAGGGTTTTCTGTGACTCCTTAGTTTAAGTAACAATTAAAAGTTTAACTAATTTGGTTATTGAAATTTTTGTCATCAGTAAAATCAATGTATTTCAGGTAAAAAAACTTATGTGAATCTTTTGACAAAACAATTAATTTTAAATCTTTATAAATATTTTGTTTTAGAGAAAATATTTTTTTTTGTCCTTCAAAAACTGACATGTTTTAAAACAGTAAAATATTTAAAGTAGAGCCAATCCAGAGTTTTATATTTGTACACCTCTAAATAAATCTTACAGAACTTGACAGTTTAATTATATCATCTAATCAATTACATGGCCCCTTAAATCGATTCCGTGACACAGGAACTGCAAGTTGAGCTTTCGTTTTCTTGGCACAGTTCCCTCTCGATTATTGCTTAGAGCCATTGTGAATTTGCCATAAATTTAATAATCACAATAATATTTTTTATGTATCAGACGGAAAGTTCAAGGTCAGTTGGTTGCGGGTGCATCGCCTGGAGGGTGTGTGTGCAAAAGTCGCGCAAATAGTGTGCGCATATGTAGAATAATATATAGCAGTTGATTGTAATTGCAATTGGATTCCGATTTGTGATAAGCGGGCATAATAAACATGTCCGATGGGAGACATTAACAAATGAAAAATAGTCAATGCATCGGCATAAATAACCTCTGCGAATATTTCTGTACAAAAAGAGGAAAAATATGCATAGTATATTTCAAATTGACCAAATTTGGGCTGTTAACCAAGGAAAATTGCATTTCGTTGTTTGCTCTGCTGGCCAAATGAGTAATTTCCATATTTTCATATACTTTTCAGTACTTCTCATCTCCGGCTGCATATTCAACCTACCGCCCCATTTCGCTGTTTACATTTCGTGTATTTCATTTAATTTCCTCTTTTGCTCGGACTGAGCTGAAAATGTTTGGCAGGGGGAGAAGATCTCGTTTTCTGACAGTTTTGCGTGTGTTTCAGAATAAAAATGTTCATTTTCAGGCAACACCCACTGCGTGTGTACTGGAAATGTTTATTTAAAAAAATTGTTCCTTTTTTCTGCCTTGCCGTGCGCATCCAAGAATTCATAATAATAATCAGAGCAACACGTACGTTCGCTCTATCTCTTTCTGTTGCCGAATCTTTTGTTTTCCTGCAATCGACGGAGGCATTAAATTTAAGCACTTTGCCTTCGATTTCCACACAAACAAAACATTAATCTCAGGTGCCTATTCAGTCCCCCGATTGCCTCTATAAACAAGGGATATTTCCCTGTTCGGTGCTCTTGAGTTTTTTAAATCTAAACATATTCCTCAATACTAGCTTTTTCTCACTGGGTGCAGGTTTTTTTTAAAATTATTTTATCATTTTGTAAAGATGAGTGGGCGTTTTCAAGTAGTGGACAACGAACTCTTTATTTTTTTGAATGGAATCATATAATGTAATTGGGTGTTTTCAGAAGTTGGATTACATTTTAGTATATATAGTTTTTTGGAAGGTAATTGAGCTTTAAACAAGAAAGGAAAGCTAACTTCGGGCGGAGCCGAAGTTGATATACCCTTGCAGAATATTATGTACATTATATTCTCCAAAATTATTCATATGATGCATTCTTAATACTCATAAAAAATCCCAACTTCCTAACTTTAAAAACACCAAAGTTATGGCATTTCCAATCGTTCAGTTAAATGGTAGCTATAGGATATAGTCGGCCGATCCTTATGAAATTTGGTAGGTCGGATTGATTAACCAAATATAAAACCCATAGAAAATCCCAGCTTCCTAACTTTACAAACACCAAAGTTATGGCATTTCCGATCAATCAGTTATATGGCAGCTATAGGATATAGTCGGCCGATCCTTATGAAATTTGGTAGGTCGGATTGATTGGCCAAATATAAAACCCATAGAAAATCTCAACTTCCTAACTTTACAAACACGAAAGTTATGGCATTTCCGATCAATCAGTTATATGGCAGCTATAGGATATAGTCGGCCGATCTCGGCCGTTCCGACTTATATACTGCGTGCAAAGGAAAGAAGGTGTGTGCAAAGTTTCAATTCGATAGCTTTAAAACTGAGAGACTAGTTTGCGTAGAAACAGACAGACGGACAGACGGACAGACAGACGGACAGACGGACAGACGGACAGACGGACATGGCTATATCAACTCAGGAGGTGATCCTGATCAAGAATATATATACTTTATAGGGTCGGAGATGTCTCCTTCACTGCGTTGCACACTTTTGACCAAAATTATAATACCCTCTGCAAGGGTATAAAAACAGTCATCAAATATATTAACTTGAAAGTATTTTAGTTTATAGACAATTTACCCTTATCTTTCTTTAAGCTTTGGTTATGTTATGTTCAACAACAAACTATTGAAAATGATTATATGTACTAAACGTTTTGTTAAAGATCTTAAAATATATCCAGTATGATTTGTTTGTATAACTTTTTTAAAGTTTTTCTTTAAGTCTCTATTAAAAAGATAATCATAAATTAATTGAAGACTTCATTATTATAAACTAGGAAAAGCTAGGTAAATTTATTAAATTAGTTAGAACAAATAAAACAAAAATATTAATTGCGGAATTAATTCCAACGATGCATAATAACTTCTAGTATTATCACAAAATGTGGAAATAAAATTATTTTGTACCCGTATAAACCAACAAATTGCATTTACTGAGAGCTTCTTAAAGTTGATTAAGCTGTGGCGAGCAGCAAAAATAACCGAATGCAATTACCATTTATCAAATTATGCCATTTTCCCAAGGACAGCTTAGCTAAGCAATTTTCCAGCCGAGCTCTTAGCTATCTCTATTATCTCGTTTATCACAAAACCCTCTTCAGCAGACACTCAATTAACAAATTGCATTCAATTGGATGGAAATTCCGCTAAAGTTGCAGCTTGCAAATCCTTCAAAGCGACAAAAAACGAATGAAAATAAGACGTAGGCGAGGAAAAGGAGTCCATATAGTCGCCAGATGACCAGGGCCAAACAATTAATCCTTTGTTTGCCATTTATAGTTGCCCCTCTTTGCGTTTTTCTCATTTCTTTTGGCCGACGGCATCTCGAGATGATACATTGACGACGATGATGATAATCACGATGTGGGTGGGTGGGTGTGTGCTCAAAGGCCATTAAGCCCTACTTGAGGAATACAAAGCACAGACATTTAGTGCTTAAGAACCAAACGCAGCATAAATATTTGCAACCCTCTAAGATCTTTTGTCGGCGCCGATAACCGCATAACCAGACGCATAAAAGCCCCGATACTCGTATTTCCACGCACCACTAACGCTTTGCCCTCCGCCCTTTTTCTTTTTTCTAGGTGCCGGTGAATCGGGCAAGAGCACAATAGTCAAACAGATGAAAATCATTCACGAGAGCGGCTTCACTGCGGAGGACTTTAAACAATATCGACCGGTTGTCTACAGCAACACAATACAATCATTAGTTGCAATATTGCGCGCGATGCCAAACCTAAGTATTCAGTACAGCAATAACGAGCGGGAGGTAAGCCCCAATGAGACCCCATTCAGTCGGTCCAGAGGCACTAACCCCGGTCTTTACTTCTACATTTTCCACCCATTTCCCCGCCCAGAGCGATGCCAAGATGGTGTTCGACGTGTGCCAGCGGATGCACGACACCGAGCCCTTCTCGGAGGAGCTGCTGGCCGCCATGAAACGCCTCTGGCAGGATGCCGGCGTCCAGGAGTGCTTCTCGCGCAGCAACGAATACCAACTGAACGATTCCGCTAAATAGTGAGTACAAAAATTCATATACACAAATATTTTGCCACGTACAATGGGGTGTGAAGTGATGCGGGCAGATGGTGGGGCAAATTATTTTAAATGGTGTATTTTTAATCAGTTGGCAAACACGTAGGCGGAAAAAACCAAACCGGTGGATGTTATTTTAAATAGTTTATTTAAAGAGTGCAAACTTTTAAATTGAGAAAGGTATAGAGCTAAATTTAATAATTTTAGCACAGAAAAATAACTTTACAAATCAAAACTAGGACCAATGCAAGATAACAAAGTAATAAAACCATTGTAAGAATTCTTGAAATCAAGGAAAATCCGAGACTCTTTTATAAATATTTCCTGGCTAAATTTAACTTTGCCATATCACGTTTTGTCTTTTCTATAAATATATTTTAAGCTACATCATTATGACGGTTGAATACGTGATTTTTCGCCCTTTTAATTAAACTTGTAATTTAATATGTCTGCTTTCTCTTTATAACAATCTAAAAATAAAATTGATTGTGCAGTTTTGTCGGTAATTTAATATTCCGTTTGACATTCTTAACATTATTTAATGGTGCATTCTCAGCATAATGCTGCAAGACCTTAAGAAATGTCTTTAAAGTATAGACCGAAATAAAATTACTTGCAGGTTTAACCACACACCAAATCGTTACACGAATAAAACTAATGATACACTTAATAAAAATCAATTAATCATGAGCATAGATTGGCGTTTGCTTGACCTTAGCCATCACACTTTGTCCTAAGCCCACTCGCCTTTTGATTAATGATAATGCCAAGACAAACAGAAACTACATTTTTATTGCATACTTTTTCGACGCTTTATTAGGTACAATTATTCTTCGAAAAAAAACTACAACTAAATATGGGGGATTATAATGGGTTCTATATACACATGTATCCACATAAATACACAACGTTTGTTCAGTTACACGCACCCACATAAATACGCTCGTAGCTATATGTGCTGAAATGGTCGGACTGTGTTATTTACATTTGCTTAATTAAAAAGAAACATCGCAGCAGCAGAAGCAGCTGGGCTTTGACTATAAATATCACACATCCGCCGTGTGTCACTGCAGCTTTGAGGCTGGGCTCAGTGCAGAGCTCTCAGGGCCTCCAGTTCCCTTCGGTGGAGACTGCTCACTCGTCCCTCAGCGTTAGCTTAAAATTTAGAGGCGACTGCGGGATGTAGGTGGAGTTCACTCGGTACACAAACTCCCCAGAATTGTACGAGACCTTGTATTTGCGGAAGATCTGTTCCGAGAATTAACATGGCAAATTAAAGCGAGCCAGCGGAGATAGAAAGGTGCAAAAAAACCCACCTTGGCCAGCAGAGTGTGCAACTCGATTTCGGCAAAACGTCGACCCACGCACATGCGACGTCCAAAGCCAAAGGGCAAACTCACAAACGGGTGAATTTTCTGGCTGGCATGAGGGCAGCCAGCTGAAAGGAATGGCAATTTTGTTAGAGCACTGAAAAAATGTTTTGTTTAAGCCGTTTGGGAATTTTAAACATTTTTAGTTAAAAAAAACAGATATCTACCTCGATTTTTATTTATTTTGTTAACCAATTTTTACTTTGTTGTAAGAGTAAGCATAACACCACTCTTGTTTCTAAAAAGAAGTTTGAAAAGAACACATAAAAGAAGAACATTTTTTTTTAAATTTTAAATTATTACTTAGGATTTATCGCTAAGATTTTCTAACTCTTTCTCCCTTGAACGGAATTTTCCCTTTTTGACATTATGTATTACACTCAGCCTCAAGTAATAGTTCGCAATGTTTTTTACGAACAAAATGCCTGGCATTTTATAGTAGTTGACTTAAGCCACTTGCCACTTTTACTAGCCAACTCACCTGCATCTGCCGCTGACTGTTTCAGCCAACGTTCCGGCAAAAAACGCTTGGGTTCTGGGAAATATGCGGGATCGTTTGAAACAACCAAATGGGGGAAAATAACGTGGGTCTGAAATGAGGAAAAAACGAATGTGAGGTGGCATTTCAATTGGTCACCCTTTTCGGGAAACTTACGCCCTTGGGCACATGGTAACCATTGATGACAGCATCCGACTGAAGACTTCGACCATTAGCAATTACCACGGGTCGCATACTATATTAGCAAAATGACAATCTATTAAAAACGGGCTGTGACCCAATCAAATAGAGTGCCCCCATACCGTAGAGTTTCCTTCACACAGGCTCGCAGGTAAGGCATCTGCTCCAGGACATTCTGGTTGATCTCAGCTTCGCGACTGGGAAACACCTTTTGCAGCTCATCGAAGAGTCGCTGCTGCTTGTCTGGGTTTTTGGCCAGCTGATAAATTGTGGATGAAGCGGCCACCGAGGTCTTTAGGATAAGGGATATATAACTTTAATCTTTTATATTGCAATAAAGGGTTTTAATAGAGCTCACCGTATCCACTCCCACCAGAAACAAATCGAGTGCTAAAATGGCAGCCAGTTTTCGATTGCCCGTCTTTCGCACAATTCTCTCTACAATGGATATATCAGCCTCCGATTTAGACAAACCCCTAGCCTCATCGGCATCGGCCTTGTCCATGGTCTTGCCAATGTTTTTCATGCAAATTCTAGGGGGAAATCATTTCGTTGAGTGATAATATGGCCAATTTTGTATGTGCTGTTAATTGACTCACGCTGTGAACTGATCCAAAGCCTTGACGAAGCTGCGATACGCCTTAGTGGGATATACTCGCCACAGGGGCATTCGCAGCTCCAATTCCGGAACCGCCCAGAAAAACGTGTTGATGGCCTCGATGATCTGTTGGGCCTCCTCACTGCCTTCGGGCGACAAACAGCCCAACCTTGTATCCAGGGAAACGCGACCCACAGCTGAAAATGGTTTTAACGATTAAAACAAGGATTTACAAACACAAATATAATTAAATTTGTATGGTTTCTGTTGAACACAGCAGATGTAGGACCAGAAAAGTATAACATTATAACAAAACTCAGCTTGTTCTATACTATGAGAAGCATGTTTGTCGGCAACTAAAACGGCCAATTAAAAAGTTCACTGTTAAAGCTGGCTATTCATACAATCTAACAAATGTTGACAACAAAGTTTAGATTTAATTAGGGAACATTTCAATTCTATACGTTCATACAGATTCTCATTGCATGGCAAACATATTTTATGCATACAATTATTTGTGCAAGTGGAAATTTCTTTAAAACGCAACATCGTGTTGTATTACAAAAACTTAATAGATTGCGAGAGTTTATGCCAATTACTTTAATTAGTTATATCTGTCAAAAGGATATTCATTTCTAGTCCTTGGCTGTCCAAAGTGTCCTGAAGTCATTATTTCCTAATTACCATTGCAATATTTCAATAAATATTGCCAGCAATGTGTCAAAATCGCATAAGTAAAATGAAATTGCAACAACTCACATTCCAAGGCCCATTTGTAGAGCTCGTGGAGGAAATTGGCAGGCAGCTCGTCCTTTTCGTCGCGCATCAGCTCAATACTGCAGATAGATATAGAGTATATGTAGATTGCATAACAGCCTGTCTGCTCGGATGCTTGGGCTCTGACTTACCGGCCCATAAACTCGCTGGCAATGTCATTTAGCGGCGGAATGTACTTCTTGGCCGTCTGCGGCTGCAGCAGGATGTGCTGCACCTCCTGCCTGAAGGCCTCCCACTTGGGTCCGTGCCTGGAAAAGGGTGAAAAGGGGTTGGATGGTTGGATGTGCACTCCGAATGCCCGCCATAATATCCGTTATATAAGCACATTACTTACACGCCAATTAGGCCGGCCACATCGCCAAAGAAATCGCGTCGCAGGTCGCCCTTGTAATGGCGCAGTGAGGGCATCGACGGTCTGGGTTTAACAGCAAATAAAGAGTCGTTTTAAAAAAATTGAAAAGAGTGCACAGAAAAAATAACCATGAGTATGTTGTTATTTTGTTAGCAATGAAGCCTTTCGCTTTAGTGGAAAAAAAACACTTTAAAGAATTTGCCCTCCTGATGTTATTAATATATAAATTAATAGAATAAAAAACTAAGATTATATTTTTATTAAATTCCATAAATAAACATAGTATAAACATTCGTATTGTAAAAATATTTATACATTAAAAATGTTAAACAATGTTTAAACCATATTGTCATTCCCTATATCCATATCCATATTTATCACTTATTTTATTTTTGTCAACATTTTGTCTCTTATAAAATCTGAGTTGCAGATGGTACAAATTCTATCTATTTTCATGCGAAAAAACCTTCATATAATTACCAATTTGGGTACAGTTTTTGCCGATATACTTGTGGCGTGTCAGTGTATAAACTGGCTAAAACCCCGCCCCCGTAGGCCACCCAACCGCCCCTTTTGAGGTCGCTTGCCCTTGCGTGCAGACAGACCGGCGACGACAACATCAAACACAAATTCGTACAGAAACCCACACAAATGAAGCGGTTTATGTCCTGCTCCCTGTTCCTAGACCCCTTCATGTATACCAACTCCTATTTGCATTATATTTGTCTACTCGCATGTCACAGAACAAATAAGAGAAGCGTATTTATTGGCTTTTGTTTTATGCACCACCCTGGCCAACAACTTAGGCAGCCATTTGGCGCGTTTGACTTGACTGTTGTTGTTCGGTTCTTACTGACAATGCGTTGTCCTAGGCAACAAAATGCTCAATTAAATGAGAGATTTAAGTGTAAGTATGTAAATTTGACAGTTTTAAAACGTCAAGGAAACTCAACCCTGGATGTCTATGGAATAAGTATATTTTCCATCGAATTATGTAAATTTTTGTACTACCAGTTGGGAAGAACGTAATAGTTAAAAATAGGCAAACAAGAATGAAGTCATGGCAGTTAAACACAAAATATAAAGAAGAATACATTATGGATTTTACTTTCGAAAGCTTTGTTTGAATATAAAATTATTTAATATATATAATATTAAAATATATTTAGAGATTAAATTTTCCAAAATCTAAAATTGGTAGCATTTCTTATTTTATCATACAAGTTTCTTAAGACTAACACCAAAAAGAAATAGAGAAAAGCCAAACAATTAAATGTAGTATATATAGACCTATATGTGTATTTTGCTTATCTGAAAATTTCACACTCAATCTAGAGTGACGTCTTTGGCATACTAATCACTTAGCCGGGAACCCCAAGAAACTATCTGTGGACAATTCCGTAACAAGTTGACCCCAAGAAAGTCACGATCGGAACTCTGGCCTGAAACCACTGGCATACCTTTTCCGAGTTAGATATTCCCACACACGAAATGGCATTTCTCTACGAATTTTATGGACCTCGTAAAAAGTCACTAAAGCCGACGCCTCTGGCACATACGTTTGTACACATCTCTTGGCCAAATATGTTCATCAATCAGTCGGTCAGTCGGTCAGTCAGTCAGTCGGGGAATCAGTTGGTGAGCAGTAGTTAGCTTCACACTTCTGCGCCGGCAGATGGTTCATTCATCAATCTGTCTGCCGGCCAACGAGCCAACATTACGCTGATGTTGTCTCATGTCCAATCTATTAGCGATTCTTTTCAGTCATTTTAATGATGACTTGCTAAATGTGCTCGCCATTCGCAAACAAAAGAGTGTTTGGCTTTTGCGGCGTCTGCGATTCGCTATCGATCCGTGTTGTTGTCTATTAACTACATAAACTATTGGATACAAAAACGTAACTTGTTAAATTTGGTTCATGGCCACGGCTGTGCTCTTAGATATGTCCGAATGATAGGGAAAGGCGGAGAAAAGAAAGCTTATAAAAGTTATGGACACGTTAGCGATCTGTGTGACTTTCGTTTTGTTTGTTTTTTCCTTCATCATTTCGGCCAGTTTTATTTATTTCTATGATGCAAAAAACGCTTGTCGGACTCTGTGAATAGTTTGTTTTGTTTGCTTTTATTTCGGCTGGATCTCGGGTTGCTAGGCCTACGAACCGCAAAGCCGAATAAGAAGTGAAAGTTTCAGCTAATTTCAATTTAAAAGTTTATTTTTATCACGCGCCAAATTTTTAATCTTGGTGACATATTTTTCTGTATTTTTATCTCAAATTATTGATTATTTAATATGAATTTTACAAACCCCATGTTTTCTTTATTTTAATGAATACGAAAAAGTTACCTCTGGTGTAAAAAATTTCTTTTTCTGAGAATTAATATTTTAAAAAATTTCACAAAAATATAAAATATCAATTTAGACTCAAATAAAATGTATTTTGTATTTAAATTAAATACTTATTTTAATAGTTTATTTTAATCAAAAACGAAATAGTTAGTTTAATTGTATAGAATTTATTTTTCTGGAATTAAATATTTCAAAAAATAATACCAAATGTCCTTTTTGACTCTAATAATATTTATCTTGTATTTCAATTAAATACCTTTTTAATATATATTATCTACTTATATAAAACTAATTCAAAAGAAAGTTCCAAGATTATTTATTTGCATTCCTATTTCCTAATTGGAAATCAGGGATAATGGAATTTTCGCATGGCACACGCAAATGTGTCGCATGAACTAATTTCATCACTGCTCTTTTTTGTACCTGTCGCATCGATTCCAATCTGTCATAACATTTTCACACATTCTCTTTAATCCGCATTCCCCGGTGCAATCGCCAATTTCTTCCTTCGTTAGTTAATAATTTAATTACAGGCTGCATTCATTCAATATGCGCATAAATAAACAGGAATTGTATTTGCATTGGCGTGGGAAGAAGAGGCGGTGGTGGGGAGGTGGTTGAAATCGCCCATGCATGACTGACTTGCTGCGGATATATGTATATGCTATATGTGCGTGGGCCTTTGCATGTAAACGGGGGATTATGGCAATTCAGACCAAGTGCAGCCATGCAGGACATAACTATAAGCTTGGGCTAACAACATATTTAATGACTTTAATGCTTAAACCTTCAAATGGAGAAACAAAATAAGCCAAAGTTTAGTTTCAGTTAGTTGAGAATGTCATGTTTTTGCAAATTGTTTAGCTTGTGTTTAGGTTACATTTCTGTTAAATCGAGAATCAAGGTCATAGTTTTAATAGCTATTTTATTTTTGTATTTCCAAAAAAAATATGTTCTAACAACCAGACATCTGTTATTAAGTAAGATTTTATTTTTAGTACATGTGAATTTCGGATGATATAACTGACTCCTTGCTCATTTTTTCTAACGATTCTTAAACATGCAAAAGATTATCAATCATACTGAACAGACATGTCACACGAGTCGTATACGCAATTTCGCAGTGTATCTTCGAGGGATGGCAAGAATTGATTTATCACTCACCGGTGTGGCATTGCCTCCTCCTTCTTGAATATGTTACGAATCTCGTCTCCATCGAAGACAAACAGCAGGTCCGGGTGACCAATCAGACCACCCACTTTGGCCATCTTCCCATAGTTCACGTGCAGCTCATTCATAACCTTGTCCAAGTCACTAATTTTGTATGTTCCTGCCAGTGACAAGCGTTTATTAGTTATCCTTGTCGGAATTTCCTGGAAGCGGAGTGAGCACTCACCAATTAGAGGAGCAAAGCGCCAGGAGTTGCCAATTAGTGGTAAGGGATATGGACCCGGCACTTCCGAGTAGGGACGCACTGCAGCCGTAGGAAAAGTGACGGCTTCTGCCGGTAATGCGGTTGTTGTTGCCTTAGTTGTAGCTGCTGCTGCCACGGCTTGTTGGCTGTCAATTAGTGGTAATTGAACACAGGGAAAAAACAAGAAAATATGATTTATTTGTACTTTAAAAAAACCTTCTATACTTATTTAACTATTTTCATATATTATGTGGCCTTACAATACATTTTTCTTGTTATACAGTTTATTAGCTTATTTTTATTTGCTTAAGGCAGACAGTATTGGATTTTATTGATATTTTGATATTACGCTGAGTTGCAAAATTAAGAATGGAAGAGTTAAAAGATGGGATCAAAAATAATCACATTTTCTTAAAATGATTACTGCGATATTTATTTATAAACGTCTCTAGAAGAGACCACAAAAATAATAATCAAAGTAAAATCAAATACTAATTAATAAAGACGTCTAACGAAGATAGTTTACAAGTTTAGTTTAGTTTAGAGTCTAAGCAGTTTTGATAAACCGAACTTTTCACGAAATTGGACTCGTATTTTTCTGTGTATAAATTCAAAGAATTGGTGTGGGGAAATCACTAACCTGACATTTAATTTCTTCAGATTTGCCGACTCTCCCGGCCGCAGTCGCTGCATTGCAATTGATTTTTCAATTTCCGTCGCCACGCCCACTCCGCTGCTGGGTGGCGACACCGCACCACCGCCCCCAGAATGCGGCAGTATGGAGGTGCTGGAAGTGGAGCGTCTCATCAGCGCAATGGAGGTTTTGCGTAAGCCCGACATCTTGAGCTCGGTCCTTTGGGGAAAAGTATTATGTAAAAAGTTTAGCAAGTTGAGCAATCTGCTGCCAGCAACTAAATTGTGTATTTATGCTTATTTTCGAAGTGTTTCTTCCTGGCGGCAAAACTTTTGATGCATATCCAAGTAGGTTTTGCCGGGGAAAATCAATCAATAAGAAATAAAGGCCACTCGGGTTTATTATTCGAACGACTCCCCAGAGAATTCGTAGAGACTAGCGCTGAAAAGTGTTTGGTTGGCGAGCAAATATTATGGCACACTCGCATATCCATATTCATTTTAACTTTCAGCGATGACAGCACTTAGTTCGAGTTAGTTGCAAAACAAAGCCAAGCAAACAATCGACGATTGTCCCTTGTCCTCGGCTCTCAGGGGAGCACTTCAGAGACACAGGGGTCGGGTGGCAGGGGCATTCCCATTTGCCGACAGCTCGGTGCGTTCCATTTTATGCTTGCTGCCAATAATCAAGTCGGAGTTAGCTAGCGTTAAATTGAGCACAACTACGAGCACTCGTAAAATGTGAATTCAAACAAAGAAAACACAAATTGAAGAGTTATTGAAGTAGCGCAACTGAGGGCCAAGCCAGCCCTGGCCAATTCTTGTTTGTTGTGCACAAAGTGAAGTCTCGTGTAAGCGAAGGCTTTGAAAGGAAGCAAAAGCAATTCGACATTACTTGATAAAGGTTTTAAAAGTTCTGGATATGGGTAAACAACTTTTGTCTGAGTTGTAGAAACTTCTAGAGAAACTTACAATTCGTTTACTACGCAAACTAAAAGTTGGTTAGTTTTCAATCGTTTTAAAAATTTAAGATTGTTTGATTTAATAAAGTGGGTTTTTCCCTAGACATAATTTACAATGTTGCTGGGATTTGGTGCCTTGTCATAGCAAATGTTTGTATTTTTAATAAATATAAAAATATAAGCTAAGCTATTAAAGAGCAAAACTATTTATTTTTCAAGGTAAAGTTAATAAATAGTTAGCATTTATTTATAAATTCGTTTGTGCCAAGAATTTCAATGCATTGCCAAACAAGAAACACATTTCTCAAACTCGAAACTGCCAAAAAGTCAAAGCTTGATTGGGCTAACCTTTTTTGTTGACTATGGTATGGCTCTATTTTTCCTTCACTTCTCTCGCAGTATACAAAATTCTGTTCTCTACCCCAAAAAAACCCCAAACTTGCCCACACTCACGCATTTAATATGAGCATTCCTTCCCCGCAGGCAGAAAAACTGGCAACGAGGCAAGATTGCTCATACGCCGCGTATGCCATCGAACAATGGTGACAGTGGCACTTTTGTGGAGCAGCTGCCCGACTTCTAGTGCGCCTGCTCCCCAAAGGCAATATAATTTAAATGCCGAAAATGTGATGGAACAGAAATCTGCGCACCCAAATCCCTTTCTGGCCTTTATTTCTTATGTACACTCGCGTGCACAATGGCAGCTGAGCGGCTTATCCTTGCCCTTGTCGCACAAGCGGCGACCTTGAGCTCTCGAGCGGTAGCAACAACAACTATCTCGGAACGTCAGCGCGGTTTTATCGCCCAGGCGGTTATAATGAACTTGAGTGATAATCCTAGCGCCTGCGAGTAATGTAGAAGAAATGTCAAGCAGCCACTTGTCGTTGACTTTTATGGCCATTGTTCCGAAATAGAGGCAGTGGGAGCAGCTGTCTGTTTCCCTCGTTGCCGCATTTTCCTTACACACGAATGAATGCGAAATTGAAAGGCATTCTATTAGCATTCAGCTGCTAAATGAGCAAAGGTGGTTGAAAATCCCGACCGATTATGTCACTCTGGCAGCTTGGCAAATCTTTGGCCTATTGGTTTTTGACTTGCCCTTCGAGAGGTGTGGCCAAAAACCATATTCAAATTTGCTTTCACGGTGCCAGTTGCTTGAGTTTCGAAGTGCAACTAGTTTAGCTAGCTTGTCTAATTTATCTGGAAAAATGCACCATGAAAACGCTCTTACACAATTTTAAATTGTCTATCACGCAGTTAAATGCTTTTTCCTTTAACAACTCTTATTTGCTGAATATTTTTCACTTTCCAATTGTTTATCTATCTCTATTTTTCAATATCAAGTTTTAAATCTATCTCATGACATTTTAACACAGCAATTTATAAGTTTATTTCAGTATCAATATCACAAATTTACACAAATTAAAAACAAAAGACTATAATTTTCATCTCACTTTTAAACACTTTTGTATCCTTTCGAGATTTTTTTTGACGCCACCTGACTCTAAAAGACTCTTATTAAATACCTGTTTTTCTTTTTTCCCCAATACTTTTTCAATATAATTAAATTGGCCTTTCACGCTAACAGTTGATTTCTTTGACAGACAAGTTGACTGAATACTTTTCAAAGTGCAACTAGTTTACCTGACACGCCCAAATTGAATCTGGAAAACACTGCTCGGAAAAACTCACTTGAACGTTTGATTTTATTATTTCGCCGATTCGGTTTTCTCGGCCTGCTATGCCAGTTGGTTGGGTTTGAGATTGAGTTTCAATCAACTTGTTGCCGATTTAGTTTTAGTTTTAATTTATTTGCGGTCTTGGTTTTCCAAAGCTTTTCAAGCCGCCGTTTGTGCACAATTAAAAACAGCTTTGGATGCCTTTTGTTGTGTGGATTTCTATTGTTGTATTTGCCAATTTCCCACTCGCTCACAGGCACTCGAAAAGGCGGGGAGATTCGCCAGGTCTATTGTCACGCAACGCGAAGCAGTCGTAGGTTTATGTGTGGTGCACCGAGTCCCAAACCAAAACTTAAAACTTAAAGCCAAATCCAAAACCGAAACCGAAACCGAGAGCTATGGAGCTATGGATGGAGCTCCCGAGTCTTGAGTTGTTGCCTCGTAGACCAACCGCGACGCACTAAACGCGATCGCCGGGCTTCTTAGTCTACTTATACGCCTTACACTATAGGCTGGCTCCAACTGCTGATCGGCAAACTCGGCTTTTGGCGCGCTTCTGTTGGTTTTGTCACTTAAGGTATTTCTGCTAATTGCTGCTACCTGCTGCTGCTAACTTTATCACTCTTTCTAGCCCAGAAACTAGTGGGTTTCTGTTATAAATAACGTAGTTTTCCAAACGAAATTGAAAGTGCCTAATAATCCTAATCAAAAAGCAAAAGTTTGTGTTAATATATAACGGTCTACTCCCTTGATTGACATTAATGAGGGGCTTGACGAGGTTCGAATGTGCTTCCAGGTTTGAGGGTTATGTAAAATAAACAAATTATTGTAAAACGCTGCTGAGACTAACGACCCATTTGCTTGGCTAAATTGCACGCAAATCGCTTAATTGAAAAGGCCATAAAAGCTGGTAAAACAATAGTCAGATGAAGCCAGCAAATAAATTTCGCATGATGGCTTAACTGATGTCGGATACGGTGCAAATGGGAAAATGGAGTTGGGCTGCCAATAGCATAGATGAGATTTGCATTTGGAAGATTTTTATAAAAATTACATTTTTTAATAAAGTCATTAAATGTATATAAGAAAAGTATTATTTTAATAACCAAATCGCTAGTCTATCATCAGCAAATTCTACGATTCCAATCTTCAATTAAATCAAAAACAATTTTACTATATTTAGCTAATTTTCGCTCGCGTTAGTTATTATAAAGTTTACGATCTACTTTCAAGAAACCACAACTTAGCCACTTGCCACACATTGCAACACATTTTCCGGGCTTACAAATTACAGCTGCATGTGTGGCTGCGGTTTTGGATCAGTAAACAGAAAAGAAAACTTTTATGATGGACATGTTAAATAAGATCTCCGCCTGCCAAGTGCTAACCAAGCGGTTGCCCAATCGACAAACCTATCGGATCCGTTTGCAGGCGGCCAATTAACATTTGCCCAAGAAATTGTAACAAATATCGGGCATTAGCTTTGATTATGCAGTTTACCCCACCGCTAAACTTTTCCGCATGAAAGGTGGTGGCTGCGGTTGTGCCAGGCGAGCATGACTGGGCCAATTTCCTTGGGCGACTGCAAAGGGGAGTCGCCAGCTGGGTCCAGGCCCTCTTTTCAAGCATTGCCAACTTTGGCCAACTTGTTGGGCAATTGTGCGTGTAATTTAGGCGAAAGCCAGTTGACCAATGAATCAGATTTCAGCGCAAGAGCAAGTCAACCGAAGTTTGATGCGATAACCAGCGCAGATTCCTCGCCCAGCCTCAAAACTATTTACGACCTGTCTGAACCCGGGCACAAATAAAATTAGCTGACCACCAAGTCGGGGGCCTCAGCCCTTTATTTTTAAAGGCATTGCGTGCTGGACGTTAATTACGGCCCAAAAACACACATCCGAACTGGCCACTGGACACACTGGCCCCTCTTCGATGACCTACTTGTTGACGCTCTTACTCCCAAGCACGCAGACTCTGTATCTTTATCTGTATCTGACAGATGCTTTCGGTTGCCGTGGGCTGACGGTTACATAACAGGCAAATAAAACTAATAACGAATATGGCCTGCATGCACGGAAATTAGAACCAGAACAAGACACGGAAATGGAAATCATTTTGAATGGCTAGTTTCAGCAGGGAAAGCCGTTTGCATAGCCAAGAAATGTACGTGTGTGTGGGTGTGTGGGTGCTTTTCCCCATTTCCCATTTCCCTTTGCTCTCGACACGCGCACAGGTTTTTTGTTTTTAATTGTTTGCTCAGCGCTTTGGTCTGCGCCTTAATTGTTTGCTCAAGACTTGGCAGACACGGCCGGAAAATTGAGAATGGTCGGGTGAGAATGGATGGGCAAACATTTGTCTGGTCAAGCGTGGTGTGGTGGGAAATGGAATTCTTCCGTTCCTAGACTGTAACACTTTCTCCCTGCTCTATTTCCTTGCAGTTTCCTGGATGATTTGGATCGGTTAGGCGCCAAGGATTACCAGCCAACCGAACAGGATATCTTGCGTACTCGCGTCAAGACCACTGGCATCGTTGAGGTACACTTCTCCTTCAAAAACCTCAACTTTAAGTGAGTAACAATATACGATATCAAAGGTAAATCGTTAAAACTGAGGTATTTCTTAAATTATAGATTGTTTGACGTGGGCGGTCAGCGTTCGGAGCGTAAGAAATGGATACACTGCTTCGAGGATGTTACAGCGATCATTTTCTGCGTGGCCATGTCTGAGTACGATCAGGTCTTGCATGAGGATGAAACCACGGTAGGATTGGGTTAAACCAACTGAATAATAAGAATTAAGATTATTTTGGGCTTGATACTAGAACTTCAATTGATAATATACAATTTATCCTAATATCTTTACTATTATTACTAAATAGTGATTGTAATGATTTTCGTCAATTGGTTAGTTCTAGTGTCAGAAGATTTTAAATCATATGCATATTCTTTTCTTTTAAAATATAAATTTCAACCATATAGCATTAAAATGGTGATAAAATGCCTTTTACTAAAAATAAAATATTTTATTTAAGAACCGCATGCAAGAGTCGCTGAAACTTTTTGACTCGATCTGTAACAACAAATGGTTCACGGACACCTCGATCATTTTGTTCCTGAACAAGAAGGATCTGTTCGAGGAGAAGATTCGCAAGAGTCCCCTGACAATTTGCTTCCCCGAATACACAGGTGAGTGGTCCATCTGATCTCGTAAATGGATAAGTTAATAATGCTATTTTTGGGGCTCTAGGTGGACAGGAGTATGGCGAGGCGGCTGCTTACATTCAGGCTCAATTTGAAGCGAAAAACAAATCAACCTCAAAAGAAATCTACTGCCACATGACGTGTGCCACAGATACCAACAACATTCAGTTTGTATTCGATGCTGTCACCGATGTCATCATAGCAAACAACCTGCGCGGCTGTGGACTGTACTAAGGAGGATTCGACAGCGGATCCCGATGATGATGATGATTATGATGATGTGGAGCAGAATGGGGGCGTTAGCAGGGAACACCGTAACGGTATTAAAGAGCAGCGCGGGAGCACAACAACCCACCAGCATTGATCAAAAACCAAACAATTTAAGCAGATGAGCAGATGATAGAACCAACCAACCGCAACCACACAGAAAACACAGGACACTGAACACTAAACAAGCAAAGCCCAAAGAACTTTTATTTGTTTAACAAAAAACGGCGGACGGACGGAAATCCCGGGCGGATGATATGGATGGGAAATAAGCGACAAGTACATTACATAATATCGATAATATTGATGCAGATACACAATGCTAATGATGATCAGGTCGACAATGGTAATGAGGCAGCAGGCAGCTGACTCTGGAACACGCGAGAGAAGTCACATTTGAAAAGGGCAGTTGATTGAAAGGCATTTCCTATATACATACATATAAAAACACATACATATGCATTATGCAAAGCCACATGTACGACATGACACTAACACACTCACACGACATACACAAGCGCCAGCATTGCATATAGTTGTTGTTTGGTCTGAATAATTTTTATAGAATTTCATAATTTATGTGTAGTTTAGTTTCCTCATGTATTTATTAAACAAAAACCAAACGAGCGTATATCTACATATACCGCATATATATATACATACACTTCTATACATATATATATATAAATATTATATATTAAATGTTTCCTGTTGCAATCTCTCTTTGAAATTATTCATGCCATCAACGCTCTGCATTTGTCATGCTTGTTTAGACTTAAGTTCGAAAGTTACAACAAAATCCAGCGGCAAAGGAAATAATAATAATTTGATTGCGTGTCAGCGTGTGGGCTAAAGTAAATATTATATAACAAACCAAAAAAACCAAAACAAATGAGGAAAGAAAACACAAAATATGGAAGGCAAATCTTTAACGTTTAAGTCTAATTTAAAGATAAATGAAACGGATATAAAACTCTATCTATTGTATTTACAAGAACAAAATCGAAGAAAAACTAAACTAAAAATCAGAGAAGAGTCAAGTAAAGCAAAGCAAATGTGGCCACTTAACTAACTTATGTAAAGAGCAGCAGTAGCAGCAGCCATCGATGATTGATTGATACATTTCAATGTAAATTGTAATTTGTTGAATTTACGTGTATAGAAGAAGTTTAGCTGGCAAGCACACAAAAACACAGACACTGGACACAAACTAACTATAATTTACTTCACTTAATAAGCTGATTTGTTGTAATTTACAATGATTTGTGGCATTTATACGAGGAGCAAGGCAAATCAGCGAAGATCAAAACATAATTCAACCTTGGCGGCGCACAAAAGCATGCTATAAATTTTTGCCATATCTACGCACACACCCGAAACACAAAATATGAATCAAAATGAAAGGAACGCAGAACTCAAATCTCCCACAATGAAACTAAGGATTGTATGTAATAATATAATAATTTATAAATTCTACTTTTAATGGTAAACATCTTCATACATGTACCTATATGTATGTGACTGTATCTAGCGAATGGCATTTAACCCCCGAGTATGTTGAATTGTTTGATTAGACTTATTATTATAATTATTATGTATATGCTTTGTATGTATGTATTTTGTGCATTTTGATTTTACGCAACGATTTAGCTGCAATGAATTTATATTGTTATTTTTATAGTATTTCTTTTGTATCTGCCCACCTCTCTCCTCTTCCTCCTCCTTTACTGGAAGTCTCCTCACTTGTGCTCTTGCTCTAGTTGGACGGAAATCCATTTATGTTTTATAGTTTTTAAGCCTTATTTATGTAAACGCACACAAACACACACAACTTAAACATCAACTAAGTAAGTTTATTAGCGAAATAAATATTATTTGACATTCAACAAAAAGTAAGGACACCTTGCAAGAAGCTTAACGAAAGCGTTTCGATTTTTTGGCAACCCCAGCAGATCCAGTGAAACTTTTCAAAAGTTGTGTTGGCCGCAAAATCCGTACAATTCCCGTACTCCTACGTTTCTAGATTTAAAACACCGATCAGCAAACATTCACTTCTAAGCATTTACTTAGGTCAGCCAACACTTTCCCATTTCCATGTCCCATTTACCTATCCCCCCTAATATATCCTGGCCCAACCAAATACTGTAATATTTAATACGTATGTATTTTCCATTCAACTTGTAAAATTCTACCAAAAAGAAGAAAACAAAACGCAAAAACCATTTTCAAATAAAACTATTTATTCAAAAATAAAAACCAAAAGCCATTTTGTTATTTTCGTTATCGTTTCATGATTTCGTTACAGCCAGCGAAAGGTTTTGCATGAAATAGATTACATTGTAGCTGCTGACTTTGAATTTGGGGTAAGAAACAGCAGATCAGTATATAGTCACTTGACCAGTAATGCAGAAGATCAAGAACAAAAAGTTCAATAATTGTATGTAACTATAAATAAATACCAAATCGATATATTTATTGACAATTTAATTAAGCCACAAACAACAAAGTTATTCATTTACCTTCAAGACAAAGTAAACCAGGTCGGTCTATATATACAGATATATAAATAAAAATAAATATATTTAGTAAAGGGAGATCAACAAATTTCTACATGCATACATACATATGTACTATATTTTTCTCGTAAATAATTATTAATCGAATACTCCTCATACGGTAGCGACTATAATTTTTCTCCTCAACGTCGCTCAACTTTTGAATCAACCGAGATCGCAAAACTAAATAAATAAAGCAACCAGCATTCAAGTAATAGCATCATTCGTTCATATAGTACAGCATAGCGTTAACCGCAGAATATCGACTAAACTTTTTGCATATTTTCAATACTAAATGGAATAGAGTGGTACGGAAATGGAATCAAACATAATTCATATTTTTCTAAAGCTCATACACCTCTTTGCTCCACACACCCATAAAAGTCATAAAAACGCAAGTCGCACCACTACTAAAATTACTTTAATAGCAGTTAAAACATTTATAAGTGAAATCCATAAAGAGCTAACAGAGTTAATGTTAATTGATTCGAATCAAATGTCAGAGGACATTCATAAACAAGATTTTTTGTAAGTGGCGATAACCAATCTTTGGGATTTTAAGAGGAGCTGGAGGAAAGACGAGGTAACACGTTGAACCAAGATTATAGGTTAGACAAAGTTTAGACATTGTATCCAATCTATTTTGTAGCCTAATTCAAAATGCTTTGGTTGTCCCATGCAGCAGATCAGATTTGTTTAACTTGTATATGGCAAACTATTTATATACTTATAATAACGTATGTGGAAATATAATTCTCCTCAATTCTTGAGCTCCTTTTCTCTCTCTAATGACCCACGTGGATAATGTGTAGCTAATGGCCCATGAAAAAGTTTTAAAATGAGATTGAAACGAGCCACAGAATCTTACCAAGCTCGATAATGATGAATGAATTTGAATCGTTGAATTAAAAACTTAAAATAATATATGAAACATAAAAATAATGATATAAAAACTGAAATAACAAAACCAAAATGTTTGTATGTAAAAGAAACTCAAAACGTTAGAGATCATCTACAATTTAAATAAATATAAATAAAACCAAAAAAATACATGTTTTTTATTCACAACAAAAGCTGACAGGATAGTCGCAAGTCCTTCGGCGAGGCGTTTAACCATAATATTGCCGGATCGGGATCGAAATATAAAATGGTATACCTTTTGTAACAGCAAACAGTTGCTGCTGCATTTTTTTTTAAATACCATTTTCGGGGTTGTCTTTTCTAAGAAGTTCCTGTGTGAAATTAAGGGACAGGCAGAGTATGGATAAACTTTAGGATCAGGTAAAAACGAATATAATGGGACCATTATGGGTACAGTCGACCACTTTGCACATGTCATTTATTAAATGACAATAATGACAGGTAAGTCAGAGCGGATCTACAATTGGCGACAACCACGCGAACACACTTATGTTGTTTTTGGACAAAATCATCCGAATATCTTCCTTTAATTGCATAATTAACAATTGCATAATTAACAATGACAAAATAATTACAACATATTCCTTTTAACCTTTTCTGGTATTTTATTTTGTAATAGTTTATAAAGGGAATCTGGTGATTATTTTTTTTAAACAAAATTCATGGGGTAACCCCAATATGCTACATAATCATAATTAGTTTCAGGAATTCCTCTAATTAAAATTTGTTATGACTAGTCTATTGCATTTTCTACTCTAAAAGTTTTTTTTTCGATTTGGGAGTCGAGATGGTTCGCAGGGACACTCGCCGGGGAGTTTTGTTGTTGGGCGTGGAAGGTGCCGATTCCAACACCTTCAATGGGGTTACAGTTGCCTCCTCCTGTGTGTCCTCGTAGACGAGACGCATGTCCTCGGTTCGCTCGCAGGTGACTTCGCTGGCTTCGATTACCACAGACTGATTTAATTCCGTCTTCTTGGGCTCCGGCAAAGGCTCTTGGGAATCCTTTTTCTCCGTTGGCAGAGGTGCAATGCCCTCCTCGAGGGGCCAGGCATCCATGGCCTCCTCCATAGGCCCCACAGGCGAGTTGACGGGCATTTCGACAAGTACGCGGGGAGTTCGCCTCACAGCTATAGGAGTGGCTTGCTTGGCGGGCTGGCTCTTCGGCGTCAGGTTGAAGTGGCTTGAGCTGCCGGGAGTTCGGGGCTGGCGACGCACTTGTATGGGCGTAGCGGGCCGGGACTTCTTTTCGGGCGACTCGAACTTTTCATCGGAACTTATGATCTCCTTGTCGATAACCGGGATTGCCGATTGTGATGTCTCTGTTGGAGGCACTGCCTCAGTACTGATCTTGCGTTTTACGGACGCAGTTGCTGCCGTGACCTCTGTGCTCTCTACTTTTTTTGGCGAGCGAGAAATCAATGCTTGTGGAGCGGGGGCTTTAGCATCATCTGTGGGCTTGCATAATTTGATCCCCTTCCCATCTTCCGGCTTACGCGGAGATCTGCGTATAGCAATTGGCGTGGGTGCGACCGTAACTTTACGGGGCGAACGCCGGAAGGCAATGGGTGTGGGCTTTACATCGTCCTTGCCTTTTGTTTTGGGACTGTTTGAGCTGGATGAACTAGCACTGTGCATGGAAGAATCGTTTTCAGCATCCATATCAATCTCCCCTTCCTCTTTTATCCCTGATCCAGCAGCCTTCCTATTAGTATTCGGTTTGGTCTTCTCCTGCAGTGGTTTCCGAGTGGGTGCCACCTCATCGGACGATGCCTTGCGGAGCTTGTGCTTCTTTTTCTTCGGCAGCGGCACATTCTCTGACGATTTAAGGGCAGCGCTCAGCACTGCTTCCATGTCCTCGTACCGCTCACCAAGCTCATTCGGCTCGAAGGTCAGCAGCGAGCAGAAGCCATCGGTACTGGACACGATCAGAACAGTGCCGTCACTGGACCAGGTCAGATCCGTGAGCCTGCTGTAGTGGATGTTCGAGACAATTGCAAACGGCACCGACTGCTGGGTATCGTAGAAAAACACCGCGTTCTTTGTGGCCACGGCATAGATCATGCGGTACGGCAACGAGATGATAGGCGGATTCTTCTCCGCATTGTACTGTCTCAGACGATACAGAACCGGAGAGCAGCGCACCGCCACCGCGTACTCGTTAGGAAAGGGCAGCACAAAGGCGGGCTTTGATAAATCATAGCGACTGAATCCGTATGTTGTGTTAATAGGCTTTACCACGCCGTCGTAGTCGGTGATTCCCGCCGGTGTAAGAAGCAGCTTGCCGTCGGGAGTGAAGCACAAACGACGGAAAAAGGTCTGTAATGTGCCATCATGGTACAAACGAATGCTTTTGCCGTGCATCTCGTGACCCTCTTTCACTGGAAATCCACACTTGCTCACACGGTGCAGCACTCTCTTAGTATTTACATCAAATATGCGCATTTGCCTGTAAGAAAAATAAGTTTGCGTTAGCAGGAAGACTTTGAGATGTAATAAGTAGCTTCTAAAAATATCAGGTTGGTTCTGGTTTTCACTTTCAATAAATTTTTTTCGATTTTTGAGATATTTTTGTTTAGTTTCTTTTAAGATATAGATAACAGCTGCAAGGGTAAACTTCGGTTGCCAAAGTTTGCTTACCTTCTTGTTTTACTCTTTTATAGATCTCTCTATTTGGTGGCTAGAAATTTTGAATCATTTTAAGGCTAAAACCGGAACACTCCTGGTTATCTTTCAGAAATCTATAGATGTACTGCATACCTGTCGGTACTCATTGTTGCGATGTACTGATTGCAGGGATCCCAGGCCACGCCCTGGACATATCCCTTGTGGTCATCGAGAATAGCCAGCGACTTGCCCTTGTGCACGTCCCACAGCATCGCTGTGTTGTCCACAGATCCGGTGACCAGGAACAGTGAGTTGGGCGCCCAGCTGAGGTCGTAGATATCCTCGCGATGGCCGCGCAGAACCTTCAGTGTCATCCAGACCTCCTTGTCCTGTTCGCTGCAGCCATCGGCGTCCACTATGTTGATAACTTCGTGGTCGGCCTTCTGTTTCCAGATAAAGACCACACTCTCATCATCGCCGGAGGCCAGGAGTTCCCCATTGGGTGACCAGCGGACCGTGTTGACGGCACGCTGATGCCGAGACAGTTCGGCGGCCAGTTCCAAATCCAAGCCCTCGGCGTTATCGCAGCGATTCACATACCAAATGAGGACATGAGCATCTGTTCCCCCGGACGCAAGGCGACAAATCGCCGGCGATCGCAATCCCTGACCGTTCAGCTGAATATCCACGCTTAGCACGGGATCGCGGTTGTGCCAGGAGATTTCGGGTATCTTGCACTTCATCTTGTTTACTTAATTAGCCACTGTTTACTGCTTGAAGTGCGAGAAATTATTTTATGCGGAAAAATTCGCGCCTAAAAGTGTGACCATCGGTCATCGGAATACCAAAGGAAGGTGTTTTCGATTGCCTTTATCAATGAGCAGCGCGATAGCTCGGCGAAACCAGGGCTGCACTCGTACTTAGAAAATGGTAAACAAATGTTACTATTGCTGAATTATCCTGATTAATTGAATATTTTGTGGTATTTACAGTCTGTAACGCTGCACACCGACGTGGGTGATCTTAAAATAGAGCTTTTCTGCGATGCCTGTCCTAAGGCATGTGAAAACTTTCTTGCCCTATGCGCCAGCGATTATTACAGCGGCTGTGTATTCATCCGGAACATAAAAGGCTTTATTGTCCAGACTGGGGATCCTACGAATACGGGGAAGAATGGACAGTCTATTTGGGGCCAGAAGTTCGACGACGAGTTCAAGGAAACAGTTAAGGTGAGCGGCTTTCTAGGGAAACTTCTACAGTCAGGCTATGCCTTAAGTACCCTGTACTTATTGAATCCGAGGGTATATTGTTTTTGATCCTGATATGTATAGACCGCATTGTTAATGTAACACCTGAAATCCTATATTTAACTATTATGATTCCTAAATACTCCGATTATTCCGAAATACAATAAATATCTAGAATCCGTAGATACAAAAAATTCTAGGTGATAATTGAAATTATTTTTTTTACCATTATAACTTCTAAATAGTAGTACTTCAGTACTTTCGAGTGATAATTCCACCAACCATAGATTGCTTCTTAGTATATGTACATATATAAAGCCGGTTTCTTCATAACTTTATATGAGAGAATGAGTACCACTTTATATCCCAAAAACTAATTATTCGTATTTATGCAGCACACTGATCGAGGAATGGTCTCCATGGCTAACAACGGTCCCAACGCGAATGCCAGCCAATTCTTCATCACGTACGCCGCTCAGCCAAATCTGGACCTGAAGTACACGCTTTTTGGACGCGTTATTGATGGCTTTGATGCACTAGACGAGCTAGAAAAGTTGCCCGTCAATCCCAAGAACTACCGACCCCATGTGGACAAGAAGATCAACGGAGTGACCATACATGCCAATCCTCTGGCGACGTGATAGAGAATACAGATTCCAAATCGTACGCTTAAAGAGAAATATATTTATAGCACTTAAGCTTACACGATTTCTTCGATTACAAACTAATTGATTGAGAAACATCAAATATTGTGCAAAAGTACCTAACGACTAAATCTTAAAATCAGCCAAGTCACAATTGTTTATAAAAAATTGCATTGTTTATGTATAACTCTCTCAAAGACTTTTGCACTTAATTTGGAACTTACAATAGACGGATGTATAAGATGTGTTTAAAACGATCAACTAGAAGGGATAAAACAAATGCTAACAAGAATCTCGACTACATAGACTAAGTAAATTATGTGGAGGCGCCGTTTGTGAGTGTTTTGGCGGGCTTCGGATGGTCCTTCATGTGCTGCTCGAACATGCTGCGAATGTCGGCCAGAGCCTGGGAAATGTTCTGCGAAAAGCGATGCACATCCTGTCGAAGAAATCGAGTTAGATATAAACATTCCACTTTATGAAAGATTGGTGCTTACCGTTTGCTGGCACGTGGTCTTTGCTGAGATATGGAAGAATATAAGGTTCTCTCCGGCAATGATGTAGGACACACCATAGCCATCATCGGCCACGGGCCCAAAGCCGCCACCGGCGCTGATGCAGTTCGGATGCTTTTTCAGGTCCATCTTGGGCGTCTGACCGTGCGGAGTCTGACTAGTGGAAAGGCGCCAGGGCTCGCTGAGCACCTCGTTGAGGAAAGGAGAGTCCACCTCCAGGTACTTGGAGACGACATACAGGCAGAACAGATGCCTGTCGATTCCCCGTCCGCACATTGCATCCTGGTAGCCCAACTGGTGGCGATCGCAGGCATCCTGCATCATCTTCACGCGCTCATCGTTCTGCTCATTGAGAAATCACAGGTCAACCTGGGATCTTATTGATAATATATTCACATCTTACGGTTGTATTGGGATTCTGCATGGCCTTGACCCAGGCAGACGACTCAATGGTGCAAGGACGCACTGTCTCAGTTCTTCCTTCACGGAACAGACGGGTCATGGAGGCCTCGTAAGTTAGCGAGAAGCGTCCGGCATCCCGATAGTAAGCCAACTGCAGGGCCATTTGGATGTAGGCATCCGGCGAGATACGACACTTCTTCATAAATCCCTTGCCGTACTCCTGGTGCACCAGGATGCGCAGATTCACCTCGCTGATTAGCTTGGTCACGTCGATGGTGGCCTCCTCGATTTGAGATAGGCAGGGCTTCAGATCCCAGGTAAGACGGGTGGGCATAGGTGGCTGAAACTCGGGTGTTCCCTTGGTGTTACCAGATTCATCATATCTACAGGGTTTCCAAATAATATGTTAGCATTGAACGGTGATCTTTTGCGGCAGAAAATTTAATGCAAGCAACGTAAATCAAAGACTGTTAATTTTGTGTAATAGTTGTTAGTCAGGAAAAAAACTAAATAAAATAAATGGTTGCCTTTTGGGTTGTTTAGCATTCGTATATACAGTGAATACAGGTATTGTCTAATGTTCTTTATTACAAAAAATATTTAAACGAAGCAAAAAATAAATCACCATAAATATTTATCAAAGCTATAGTTATTTTTTTAAATTTGAACACAGGATTATTTTTGATCACTAACATTGGACTTTCGTATTTCCCAAGCTCGTTGAAACTAATATTTACTGTATCGCGAGATCATTTTAGCTTTTAACGCTTGGAGACTCTCGTGTTCAACCCAAAATGACTTGAATTGCTTTGCTTTGTGCTTGTGTGTTTTGGAAGTAAGTGTTTACCCATAAATATCATCACCAAATATATACTCCCATAGATGTCCCAAAACCGGTGCATCGGCCCTATAAAGAAGGTGTAAATGGTGTAAATAAATTGTTAGGCCACAACCGGAATTAATAAAAATAATAATTTAAATGGGAGAATGGGTGATAACTGATAACTAAACGCAGCCAACCAAAACCGAAAATTGCAGGCGGGCATAGGAATCGAAAATCATTACCCCTGCGTCACAAGATCGTCGACGATCAGGTTCTCCCACATGTGTGAGGCGATGGCGGCGTCGGACCTTTTGGATTGTGATTTTACAAATCGGTTCAGATAGTTAAGATTAAGGCAAATCAGAGAAACTTGTTGGGTCCGAAATGATTTATTGGGATTAGCGATTGGACTCCACTTACCAAGTGTGCTCGGCATTGAAGCCAACACGTCCATTGGTGCCCACACAGACGGTGAAGCACTTGTCGAACCAACGGTTGTAGCCATTGCCATGGAGTAGCTTCTTGCCAAAGTTATCCAGCAGCTCTGGACGGGCCAGATCGAACTCAAAGGGCTCATCATCCAGGGAAAGAACGAAGGCAGCCGACTCAATGGTTCGCAGAGAGACATGATTGGCGCCTCGCGAGAAGAATGTGTTTCGGGCCTCAGCCCACTTAGAGCGATTCCAGGCAGTCAGAGCGGCCAAGTGCTCCTCGCCCTCCACGGGCGTTGCCTTTCCCTTCAGAATTTCCTCAATTTGACTGCAAATAACCGAAAAATAAATAACAATGCCTAATTAGCTCTTAACAAGGAGGCACTTACACTTGCAGCTCACAAGGACGCAGGATACGACCCTTGTAGTAGATGGGCATCTTATAGTAGCATCCCTTGTGCAGCACCACAATATGGTTGGAGTCCCTATAGTGTATAATGCGATCGGTTTCCAAGCCGGGCACACGTGCCGTGTTAAAGGTACGTTCGTACTGCCATGAGCACAGAGGAATCATTCCCTGAACCATGATCTAATAGAAAAAATAATTTAAATAATTTTAGCAAGAATTTCCAGGGTGATTTCATTCTTTTAATTATATTAATAGCAACAATCAGATAACCAATAGATGCAATCAGAGAAAAGATAAAGTCATTATCAATTTAACAACTCAATAATATATGGTAAGCAAATATTTTAAGAACAAACTAAACGGTTATGACTAATGAGCCATAAATGTGTATATTAACGCTTTAAAAACGCCATAAAACTGTGGCTAAAATGCTGTAAAATATTTTCTAACATCTAGTAGAGTTTATGCCTACTCTGAATATGCCAAAGCACTAAAAGCAGTATTTCAGGGTTACAAACCAACGATATTAATGGGACTTACAGGTTGCAGTTCCTGGTGCTCGATTAGTCGACGGAAGTTCAGCAGAAGAGAGATCACATTCGCCGCACGCGCCGCTTGTTTATCGGTTAGGTTCATGAAGATGGCATCCGTGCCGTAGAAGTTGCTGTTTACGCACAAGGGACTGCGACCACGCAGATAGACGTATTCCTCCCACCAATCCGACACATAGTTGGAGGAAAACCAGCTCTTGAGGATAAGGAACCACTGCAGTTTCTTGCCGATAGTCTGTTCAAATTCCTTGGCCAGTCGCTCCATTCTCGTGTAGTTATTATCGTCCAACAGGGGTCGAACGCTTCTCAGGTACCTAACCATTGTATCACTAACAGAGGGCAATGGCAGTCGGGGAAGCGATCCCTGGAAGCTGTACAAGCCTGGTTTGTTCCAACTGGAGAGCACTCGCACCACTGCTACCCACAGCATGGTGGGCACGGAGACGCGACTTCCGGGCGCTCTGGACTCGTACATCCAACCTTTGTACATGAGCAACAACTTGAGAGTGTACCGCATGGTGAAACAGATTGAGAGCCAGACGACCAAAGCGGCCAAAAAGCAGGCGGTCACTTGCCAGTTTATTGTGTTGGAGGGCAAGTGCACCAGTATCCGGTTGGTCAGATTGAAGGGAGCCTGATAACCTGCAAAGTGCAGACCGAGTGCAATGGCTGAGATCAACCAGAGGCTCTGAATGTGAGCCGGATAGACCCCATTACGTACGCCGTTCTGAAAATCACCTCAATTAGTTCATATTTTAATTTAAATTAAACCTGGTCCTAACTTACCCTAGCGCGTCCTAAGCGCTTCTTCCAGGAGCGAATTCCGGAATTCCACACCAAATTGAGCACCTCGTGGTCATAGTTGATGTCGAAGCCCTCGTGGGTGATGGCAAAGGAAAATGCCACCGCGGCATGGGCTTCAGCCATACCTGCAGGCTACTGATATTATCCGACGAACAAAAAAAATGCTGCACGAGATAGGTAATTGATATATTTAATTTAATTTTTGGGTTAAGTTTATACTATCTTTTGTTATAAATACTAAGCATACGCCAATTGTTAAAACAAATTTTTTATACAACAAAGTTGAATGCCCAATAAACTCCTATTTAAATCCTGATAATTTGCTCCTTTGTGGTCTAGATGCCTCGAAATAAACATTCTCCGATAAGGTATCATGGAAATTGCCAGACACCCGAGCCATGTGACTAATAATATCTTGGTCAGTTTACTACTCGCGATTCAGCCAAAATGCGTTTTAGATTGTAGATACTTCACATTTCTGTGTATATCTGTTTTATGAAGTGTTTTGTTTGGAGCAGTACCAATACAAAGTTCAACGGAATATTGCTCGCTTTAGATTCGCTTTATATAAATTAATAAGTATACACGCTTCGTAAAATATTCGATGTCATAACATTTTACATGCAATTGATGATTGACGTCACTGAGCGCGGCTTCATTTAGCTGGGGTTATCATCATCACCGGGACTAACGATTGAGTCTAGCTGTGATTCTAGGTCTAGGCAGCAGTCAGACGGTCATTTCTAGAACGGACTGCAGGGGCTAGTAGAAAAAAGACAAAGTTCATTGGAGGCACTTCCATTCCTCACTGGTAAGATAATAACTCTGATAAATAAATTGTGGAATCCCCAAGCAGCTGCAATTCTATACCTTCACTGGGATTGGATTTTCAATTAATTGCACAATTATTTGTTTGCTGTTGTGATTCGTTTGAGTGCCATTTCAACGTTTATACTCAGTATGGAACTATGCATGCTAATGCAAATACATATATGTTTATTTATAAAATCTATATACAAAGTGAATAAAAGTTTCTCAGATAGCATGCCGAAAATGACTCTCTTAGTTTTTAATGTTTGACTAGACTCCATTTCAGATAAACCTTGGTTCAAAGTATAACACCTTGGTGAAGGTCAGTGCATCCGATTGAATATCTATTGTCCAAGCATATCAATAAACCAGAAAGACCACAAGCTCCAACTCGAAATAGCCACAACAAGATACGATACATTTTCGTTTGACCCAGTTAGGGCCGACGACTA